AGGCAGTAGATTGTGTGCGAGGCAATGATTAAGCTTTCGCTGCCGTGTTTTATACACTATTTATTTTCAAGCATTGCATTTTTTATTTTTTTTTAAATTCTGTCACATCAATTTTAGGTTAGGTTGAATTGACGGTGACATTTTAGCTTTATTTCGGTATAAAGAAAGTTTAATTTGACTTTTGAAGTAATATTAATATTTATGAAGTCTTTTTATATAGACTTTGAAGTGTTAAAATAAAAAAATATTGTACGCTTGAAAAAAAATATATAATGGAGGTGCAATGATTCTGCTGTTAGTAATTTTTTATATATTTATTTATTTTTAATTATATGAATTACTTTTGGGCAGGGCTGCTGGGTGTTTAAATAATTTTTATATAAAATTTATTATTAAAATTTATATAAAAATGCAGCCATTGTAAGTTTTATGCTACAAAATATAAAAATAATCTTTGGCAATTACTTAAAATATAATATTTTGGCACAAAGAACCAATTGACACTGTTAGATTGGGGTAAATAATGGCAACCTTAAAATCTCGTAGTTTTATACAGGTAACCAATTCTTTCCCATTTTGTTTCTATCGAATCTGTAACTTCTTCTATATAATTATATACCAAAGTTTTGCAGCGACTATTTCCCTCGTCTTAATTTCCACCAATCACAAACGCCCAATTTTGAATTACAAATGGTTTCTAGGTGAAAAAACTGTATGACAGCATCTGTCAGCAGTTTTTTCGAGTTTACCCGCAGCAAAACTTGACAGCTGTTGTCACCAAAAATTGCAATTTATATTTTAATTGTTAACTGTTACTCATGAAATAGTCTTGTCAAATACCATTCGGGCATCTAATTTTTCCTGTGAAAAAAATCGAAAAAACACAATGCTAAGTAATATTTTTTAACAAAAAGCATTCGTGTAAAAATCCTCCTCTTCGACTCGGATTTTTGTTGCCACCAGCACTCATGCTTTTTGTTAAAATATCACTTAGCAACGTGTTTTTTCGATTCTTTTCAGAAAAATTAAATGCCCTTATGATATTACTTACGATAATCTCAAAATAAAACTTTGAAGGTCCTCTTTGCAATTCACTGCTAAAGTTGTCATCATAAAATGCCATCTGCTAGCAGATAGCATGCTGGCATCATGGATATGTTTTACTCTCAGGAAAAACATCTAAAAATTAAAAAAAAAAAACGATTTACTTTCTATACATTAAACTGAGGTATTGTAAGAACTGTACTTAAAATTTGTCTGTATTATTGTACAAAACGCGAATTTCACGTGGTTTTCGACCTTATATATATATATTCATATATGAACCAAAACAAAATGCAATTTTTGATATTAAAAACCATGATGAGTAATATTACTTTGAAATTGACTTACCTTTAGATAATAATTATAAACTCAACTAAACAGCTTGGTGCATTCTTCCAACAGAAATTCAGAGAACAATAAACGAAACAAGTTTGCGTTTTTGTCAACTGAAAATCCCCTGATTGAATATTACACTAATGTGCACTGCCAGAGCTTGGTTAGTGTTAAATGTATATTTAAGTGTAAAGTTAGATTGATGTCGAACACTACTATCATTCCATCGGACTTTGACGAAAAAATATATTTTGGGATTGAAAATAGTGTGATGTTTTATACTAACTTTTTCACTCATCTGGGAGAACACTAAAAGATTTTTTACTATGAAGAGGTAAGAGCTATAGCGACAACAAAGTGCTGAAAATGTGGAACTGGGCACTTAGCCTTATTGAGCTTATGAGAGGTGGTTTTAGCGGCAAATAATAATGGACAAAGTTCCAGAACTAATCATCCACCTCGGAGATGATAGTTCCGACGAGAATGATTACTTTGACGATTTATTGACAACAAAATAGATAGTATACTTTACAATATAAAACAATATAAATATTATAAACAATTAAAAAAAAATAAACACTTCCATGCTAAATATTAATATGTGTTTCTATCTAAATCGTTTTTGTTTATAAATTGTCCCACTTGGTTACGGATTACATCAAAAACAAAAAACAAAAAACAAAGGCTTTGTTATCTATGATTGATAGGAACAGTTGCATTCGGAGCTTTGTCAGGAAAATATGTTTCTTAAAAATTGTACAATATTAATACAGGTAAAATCTAAAAACCAGGACATTCCATTTAAAACCCCAATGAAAAGTTTACTTTTACTTTAATCAGGCCAATGTTTTACATTGCGTCATCAGTTTAAAATGTCAAAAACGGTTTTTTTAGGTTAAGTGGTCAGTAGCGTATCATTTCCAACGGGTCCAAAACTTTGATTTGTTTTTTTTAATGAAATGCCCTTAGATTTTACCTTTATTAATGTTGTAAACCGTAACCACGTGGGGTTAATTTATTAACAGGAACGATTTAGGTAGACATACATATTTATATAGAGAATGAAGGTGTTCGCTCTCTTATTATTATTTATTTTTAATATTATATTATTTATAATATTTATATTTCCAGATAACATTCGTGAATGCACGTTTAATCACACCGGGCGCACTGCGTAAATATTTAAGATTTAATACACCGTGAATTTACTGTGAGTTCCCAGATTCGTTTACTTTATACTGAGCGCATTCCGTAAATCTTCAAAAATGAATGCACCGTGAGTTCACTGTGAGAGATAACTTACAGTAAATGTACGGTGCCTTCATTTTTGAAGATTTACGGTAGATTTACGATATATAGATTATCTAACATAAACCCTGAATGTTATAACATACATATTATAATAATATTATTTTATATATTATATAAAATTACATATATAAAATAAATGTATGCACATAACCTATATTTCTATAAAAATATAGGTTATGTGCATACATTTATTTTAGAGTTACCTATACTTTTACAGTGGCCTGTAATTTTACACTGATTTCAAATTAAAGTTAATAGGTGGAATCACTTTTCCTTTGTAAATCAATATTGTATAATAACACTAGTAAACAATAAAAAAAGGTCGGTAATAAAAATAGCTCAGTCCTATAGATTTTGACCTGCTCGACGCAAATCCGGCGCCCAAAAAATTTTTCGAAGTCTCGTTTAGACGATACGGGCAGGACCATGATACAAAGAAAAATTGTTAAATAATAACGATAAAAATTAGTAAATAAAAAAGGTCGGTAATAAAAATAGCACAGTCCTATAGATTTTCACCTGCTCGACGCAAATCTGGCGAAAAAAAATTTTCCAAAGTCTCGTTTAGACGATACGGGCAGCACCATGATACAAAGAAAAATTGTTAAATAATAACGATAAAAATTAGTAAATAAAAAAGGTCGGTAATAAAAATAACACACTCCTATGGATTTTGACCTGCTCGACGCAAATCCGGCGACCAAAAAATTTTCCAAAGTCTCGTTTAGACGATACGGACAGCACCATGATACAAAGAAAAATTGTTAAATAATAACGATAAAAATTAGTAAATAAAAAAGGTCGGTAATAAAAATAGGACAGTCCTATAGATTTTCACCTGCTCGACGCAAATCTGGCGACCAAAAAATTTTCCAAAGTCTCGTTTAGACGATACGGGCAGCACCATGATACAAAGAAAAATTGTTAAATAATAACGATAAAAATTAGTAAATAAAAAAGGTCGGTAATAAAAATAACACACTCCTATAGATTTTGACCTGCTCGACGCAAATCCGGCGACCAAAAAATTTTCCAAAGTCTCGTTTAGACGATACGGGCAGGACCATGATACAAAGAAATTTTTTTTAAATAATAACGATAAAAATTAGTAAATAAAAAAGGTCGGTAATAAAAATAACACACTCCTATAGATTTTGACCTGCTCGACGCAAATCCGGCGACCAAAAAATTTTCCAAAGTCTCGTTTAGACGATACGGGCAGGACCATGATACAAAGAAATTTTTTTTAAATAATAACGATAAAAATTAGTAAATAAAAAAGGTCGGTAATAAAAATAACACACTCCTATAGATTTTGACCTGCTCGACGCAAATCCGGCGACCAAAAAATTTTCCAAAGTCTCGTTTAGACGATACGGGCTGCACCATGATACAAAGAAAAATTGTTAAATTAAAACGATAAAAATATGTAAACAAAATAATTTGAACGATAAAAAACAGTAAACATAAAAAAAACATGCCTTAAATTTTTACAATATGTACAGATATGTTGTTCATGGAATGCTGAAATATAAGTTAAAAGTAACGTCATCCTAAAATTTTCAAATGGTGTATCTATGCAATAAATGGTACCAAAATACTGTGCTCCTATTTTTTACGACTTCAGAAATTTTTTTTAAAAACATTTTGGATCCATTTCAGTCATAAACAATCGAAAAATTCTATTTTTAACCAGGACCTTTTTTTTAAGTTAAAATTTGTTGCCTAGTGTAATTTGACTTTTGAGCGCCGTATAAATATGAATTTTTTTTAAAGGCTAAAACTAAATTATTGTTTATTATTATTGGCTAAAATTACAATTAGGTGCAATTTTACTTTATTAAAGTAAATGAAAAGTTATGCGACATTTCTTAAAGTAAGTAAAGTCAACAAATCGTATTGACACTGCCCTCCGATAAACAAGAGCTTGAGGACTCGGTGAAGATCTCTCACAGACGAAAAGGAAACACTTTCAACTCCCGTCGCGGAGCTAATGGTTCCCTGGGGGGCTCTTCCCGGAAACGTGCCATAGCACGGAAATTTGACCGGTCTGTTGATTCCGACAAACAGCCCGGACCCTACACGTCTTTATTAACGGCAAAAACCACATTTACTTTTTTAATTACGCGTTCAAATATATATATAGATATATGTTCCCGGTTTTGGAGCGTATCGCATAAAAGCCCAAGTGTCGTTAAATTTATTTTGGAGTGATATTTAGTTGTCGCAGTAATATCATTTGAAAGCTTTTAACTCTTAACTGCAATATAAAACGTGTCATTTTTGTGTTTTACTAACCTTTGTTTTTTTAGGTTCTCTACAAATAAGAAGTAGCGAAGAAAAAGACCACGGCAAATATGAATGTGTTGCTGAAAATAGTATTGGTACGGATTACTCCAAGTCCGCTCTTCTTTACGTCAAAGGTGGGTTATAGTTATGTAAATTAAAACATTATTTTTGAAATAGGAAAACTACAAATACACGGAGAAAATTAAACAGTGTACATTGATGCGCCGAACAGTAATCGACTTATTTTCAATTTAAAATAATAATTAATATGCAGAATATTGATCTTTACAGTTCCTTACACTACTCACAACACTAACAATTGCTGTTGTTAAAGTAACCTGTAAGATTTTATTAGAAATCCAATCCGCACAACATTGTGAGGGATTGTATGATTTTAAAGTGTACACTCAAATTTACACTGACATTAAGTTAATTAGTGTGTTGCGCATCAATGGTTACTATAGGAATGTTTCAGTTTTACAAAATATAAGATATATACATTGTATGTATATAAGATATATACATTGTATGTATATACAATGTATATATATTATGTACATATATACAATGTATATTATACATATAAATACCCGCTTAGCAAAATTGCCGTATCTACAATATTTAATAATAAAGGACAAACACTAAAAGTTATATTTTGTCCTTTACTACTTAATATTATAGATACGGCAGTTTTGGTTAGCAGCGCAGTATATTTGACGCGCTCTAAGAAAAGGAACCTAAGCGTCCAAAAATTGATTTCTGGATTTTGATCGTTATAGATTAATTAAAGACTCTTTAATTATCTGTCAGAAAGTCAGAAATAATTGTTCTTAAATATTTTGCATTTAATAGCGCGTTAAACATTCTCTGTTTGTGCTTTCTCCTAAGGCGGTCGCCCTTTTCCGCTAAAATTTTTAAATTTTCTCTGAGCGTGTCACCACAGCTCGGTTTTTTATATGATTCAAAATAAAAAATATATAAATCACAAAATTAGTAATTTTTTAATGGTCACAATGCCTTCTTTCAAAATCATCGAACAATCACAGATCCAATGATGTACCGTAACTTTGAATTTTGAGGCCAAAAATTGTCACAATAATTTATCAAAAAAAACATATTACAGATATGGTTTTGTAATTGCGCTTCATATTATTATCTCGCCGAGGTGATTCCACTACCTATCATGGTTAGCCGCGAAATGTAAAATTGCGAACATGCGCGCATTTTTTAAATCACTTTGACAAGTGTTGACCTGATTGAAATAACATATTTAATTAGAGTACTTTACTTTTGTTGATAGCATTATTTAATAGTGTTTTCTTGTGTTTAAATTCTACGCAAATCATGCCGTGAAAAACGTCAAAATAGTTGGTAAGGTATATTCTTCTATTTTGGAAATATCTCCGGACTAAAGCGTTCATGATACTAGTGCACCAAATGTTTTGTGTAGGACAGGTTACATTAAACTAAGTACCTAGTAAAAAATTACATGAGATGGTAGTAACTTCCATTTGAGGCAAAACTAGGTGAACTGTTATATATAAATATATTTGTATAGTGGCCCGTTTTCGAAGCGTTCCGAAAGCCTTACCCAACTTTCCTCATTGTTCAATAATTAAGAAAAAACCTGTTGGCAGACCTTCTTGAAAATTCTCAACATGGACGTAAACCAAATGCAACCATTCAGAAGGGTATACATTCTTTAAACAAAGGAAAAGGCGCGTATATGAACGTTGAAATTAAACGAAAATCAGATTCGTCCGACAGAAAAAAGTTTTTACTGCAGACGCTTTAGGCAGAATTCAGGATTGCAATTTGTCATTTAATGAACTAGAGAAAATACGTCAGCATATTAGAACTGTAGACAAAAGTTTCATTCAATCCAAAGCTACACCAAAATTAAAGGAAAAAATCCATAGCTAGATAGTTTTTTCTCTTGTTCTGATTTACCATTTAACTATTCAGAAAATATTAGTTTTACCACAACATTTGTATACTGCTTAGATTTATCTGGTCTTCTATGACATATTTTGGAAATTAGAGAAATATCTGAAGATTTTCATGTACAAATTGGCATTGAAAGTTGTGGTGGATCACTTAAAGTTTGCCTTAATGTGCTCCCTGAAAATGATCCCAAATATTTCAAGTGCTGGAATTAATAAACTATTTATAATTGGCTTAGGACCAAAGTTGACTGATCTTATACTAGCATAACATAAAAATTCTCTTTGAGACCTTAGATCTGCAATCCATATGTGGTATTTGTTCCTATACTTTTGCTGCTGATTTTAAGATTATTATGAGGCTCCTTGTATTCGGTCAAACTCATCCACCCACCCTTGCCCATGGTGTGATGTTAATGTAAAGGAAATGGAAACGAAAGGATCATTCAGAACTATAAAAAGTATCACAGAAAATACAAATTTATGGAAACAATCTACTGGAGGAAATTTTGAACATGACATCGAACAATTTAAACTGAAAATATTCAACTTGGGTATTAAGATAACTCCAAAGATTCATGCAGTTCTGCATCATGTTCCAGAGTTTATAAGAGACAATCATAGAGCTCTAGGATTTTACTCGGAACAAGCATCTGAGCAGGTTAATTTTTCCTTTAAATTATTTTCTAAAAAGTTTAACTTGAATCCTCGTTGAGCATGCTACCAAAATAATCTTTTACGATGTATTTGTTGTTATAACAGCCAACATATTTAAGATTTGTTTTGTACTTATCTTTAGTTAAATTTAGTAATAAAACCACTTAGTTAAAGAAGAAATTTAATTATTCTAAGTTATTAGTTGATACGTTTTATGCAGAATGAAACATATAGCTGTAATATGATTTTTTTTACAAATTATTGTGTCAACTTTTGGTCTCAAAATTAAAAGTCACGGTACATCACTATGGAAATGATTTAGTTGTTCGATGATTTTGAAAGAAGGCATTGTGACCATTAAAAAATTACTAATTTTGTGATTTATATATTTTTTATTTTGAATCATATAAAAAATCGAGCTGTGTCACATAGATATACAGATATTGCACGTAAACTATTTATAAGTTTCTGTAACATCATTTTTAACTGATATGATAAAATTTTAGCTTAATTTTTGTACTGAGGTTGATAATAATTTGAGTTTTAAACTAGTATGAATATGAAGTCTATCTTATATACACTTGTGAGTGTTATAATAAAATAGTACCTACATTTCCAAAACATACCATAGAAAAATAATTTAATTGGGAAAGAGTGAGGTTGGATAATAGGCCTAAAAAAGAAAACTTCTTTTTATATCTCATAACAAATTTAGCCACAATAAATGCAATAGAAGTGAAATGTTAAGGTAGTATCTTCACTTAAAGAGTTTTCATAGAATGTCTTCAAAATGTTATATATGGTTTTGTGAGGCATCAGAAAAGTTCACGAATAATTTTAGATTTTTTCACAGCACAGATTCCAAGAAAATAATGTTTAATGTTAAAATAGTTTTATACTCCACAGTGTATTTTGTATCTCACGAACTCGCTCATGAGATTTACATAAAAAATAAACCTAACTAATTATTTTTTAAGCTATAAACATGATCTTATTTTGTTCCTCGGGTTTTGAAATAAATTTTTATAATAATCTATGGGAAGTTATTTTTAGCCATAGACATATTAAAGTGTACGAGCAATCAAAACGTTAAAATGAGGACAAAACTGAAGCAAAAAAGGCGTAATTTAATTATAAATGAGATCATTTGCGCATAAACTAGTTTAACAGGTAATTATTAAAATAAATCGATTTATTACCTTAAAAAGCAAATTTTTAGTTAAGGTTATTTCTGTGAAAAGTTATTTTACCTGGGAAAGTTAATTTTAGGCTTTTTATTTTAGTCATTAAAACATTTACAACTTCTACAACCCAACCATAGAGCACCTAAGTTTTACTTTCTGTATGAACCCAACGGAGAACAATACGATATTTGACAAAGAGTTCCATGGTATTTTAACAAAAACACCAAAACAAACTTGTCGTTTTGAGGTTATGACAATGACAATTAGTTTTAGCTTTTGCTTTACGGCGTAAAGCAAAAGCTAAAACTAATTGTCATAACCTCAAAACGACAAGTTTGTTTTGGTGTTTTAACGGTTACGCGTCTACTCCAATAAGTCAATGTTTTCAGCATTTTTTAAAATTGCCATTATAACCACAAATAAACAATTTATATTGTTACTTAATTAAATTTTTATGTTGTTTTTAGTTTTTTATGATACCTACTTTGTAATAAAGTAGTAACTTTAGTAGTAAAATACAACATTTTATTTTTACTACACTACACTGGCACCGCTGAATTTGCTGTCATGGCCTACTGTTTTCCCACGTTTTCCGTAGAGTTTTTATGCAATTATTGTCCACCTATTTTTTAGAAATAAGCCACGTACGGGTGTATTACCACTCTTTTCGTAAAGTTTTTGCTGCTTTTGTTGGCCAGCAAGGTTAGAATATTAAATTAATATATGTATTTACAAGGCATAGGCCACGCACAGGTGTTGATTCCATTTGAGGTGCTTCTTTGTTTAAGGCTTAACATTTAAGCAGAACGTCCATATATTTATAAATTTGGGAATAAAACGTAATTTTACAGATTTTGGTTCGCACATGACGTCACATAACACAACCGTTGTTAGTGTATCGTGGGCCTACTGTTATTTATTTATTAAACTCTTCAAATGGAGATAATACCTTAACACGTTGACTGCCATGTCCACCCAATTGGGTAGAAACAAGTACTCCCCCCTGGTGCCAGAGTTAAATTATGCCAGAGCTATAACTTAGTTACTTAAGTTACTTGAGTATTTATAGTAGGAATATTTTACAAACACATAAATGTTTCTTATGCAATTGAAAAGTTTTTTTAATTTTTAAACCTGTCTACCCAAATGGGTATACATTACTTCGTCAAGGTTGTTTACAAGTAGCGTCCACCCAAATGGGTAGATAATAAAATTAAAAAACAAATTAAATACAAAATCTGTATATTAAAATTATTATTTTTTACATTTAATAATATTATTTCGATTGTGAATTGTTTCAAAGCAGTCAAAACACAAAAACGGCTTATCAGAATATGATTTACAAAAAATGGAAACTTTTTGTCTTGCTCTTGGCTTCTTTTCTACGGGATGTAGTTGCTACTTCATAGCAGATGTTGTAGTTCCTCCTCAATACTCACCGAAACTCATAATTTGACTTACAGTTTTGTTTTACTGGAATCGACCATTTCAGTTTTTTGTAAATAATGATTTGTTACTTTTGCTAATCTTGGCATTTGGCACCTTTCCTCTTCTTCAGGAATATCTAATAACGAGTAAACTAATTTCATACGGAATTTCAGTAAGTAATGTCATTTTCTTGTTTTGTGCAGTTTCGGATAGCTAAATGATATGAAGCAACCTGATCTAAAATGTCGATGCCACTTTTCATATGAATATACGGTATAATCATTTCAGGTTTCATAATTTCTTCCTCTTTTTTATTCCTATTTTCCGTTGGGGCTAAATTGGCAGAAAATTTTGAAGACACACAGTAAACATCTCTTTTGTCTCTTCATTTTAAGGTCACTCTTCCACTAGAGCTTTGAAGAGATTTGACCCCCCACGGTTTAACTTAGCAACAGTGACTTCCTTAGGAAAGTGTTTGCGATTTTTGGTCTTTCAAAGTTAAGATATCTTACGTTTTCTCTTTTTATTTCTTCCATTTCAAAAGAAAAAAACGAATTAAATTTATTATCTAACCTCAGTCTGGTACTTAATATAGGACACTGTATACCCATTTGGGTGGACAATACAAAGACAGAAACCTGTAATTTGAAAGAATGTTAGTTACTAAAGAGCGCTCTGTACGTACAAATAAGTAAACACACCTATGAAAAGGAAACTATACTATCAATTTAAATCAACAGACAGTAGGAAAAATTTGGGTTCTTGTGCCAACCATAGATAACAAAGCCAACCTAGCAAAATATGCCTGGCAGTCAACGTGTTAAGGTTTTCATTTATTTGCGTAATATGCAATTTTTTACTCCTTATTTTCTTGTTATTATTATTTCTTGTTTAATAGTACCTACCTAATCCATTTGTAGCACTGGAACATTATATTAAAATATTGGATTTTGGATTTTGTTTAGGCGTTTAAAGTTATTGGATATAACTTTGAAACGCTTTTAATTTCAGGGTATATTTAAATAAAAGGTTAGATTATAATCTAAGTATACTTAAAAAATAAAAACAATAATTAGGGCTTTTAAACTGAAGCAATAATATTTTATTTAAAAAATTATAATAAGAAATATTGAAATAAATGAATGTGTAATTTTCAACGTCAATCCAGTCGTCTTATTTAGTTGCAATTAAAAAATAACAACTGAGATTGAGCCCTTGACAACGTTTTTATTTTTTTAGTACGTCGAGTGTCGCCTCAGTTCTCGATTCCCCCGCCGCCAATCAATGAGGTGAAACTTGGCGACGACTTGAACCTGACGTGCGTGGCCGTCGGCTCTCCCATGCCGTTCGTCAAGTGGCGCAAGGGCGAGGTGCAGGACCTCACGCCTGAAGACAAGATGCCTATCGGTAAGAACACTTTGGAACTGACCAACATCCAGGAGTCGGCAAACTACACCTGCGTGGCGGCCAGCGCTTTAGGCATCATCGAGGCACTCGCCCAGGTCAAAGTACAATGTAAGTCCATAGTAAAGAGAAGAATGTGGAATCTCATTTTATTTTTTCTATTAAATGATTTATTATAGACAAGCATCATTATAAGTAATTTAAAGAGAACAACTCTAATGTTATAAAATTCATGATGGCCGCATGATGGTGTGGATCACCTGATGTTCTTACATCTCGCCTCTGGTGGCTTACCAACCGAGCATATAAGCTCAGGGAGTCATTTGTTTTGAGTGTGTTCCACTACACCAAGTTGCCAGACACTGATGAGACCCAATATAGGTCGAAACAGCTGTCTGTCGGTATTTGAAGTTGGTGGAACGCATTCAAAACAAAAAACTTTGGCGAGGTGTAGGTTCAATTTTTTCTTATTCATGAAAAACATTTTTATAATACCCTTAAAACAAACCAAAGGTGATGAAACAATACATAATTTATTTTTAAAATTTATAAATATGATATAATTACAAATATTACTAAAGCATAATATTTTGCATATTGGTTATAATATTTTTATGATTTTTCTAGTACTCGCTCAAAATTACGTCTTATGACATTAGTTCTTTAATATACTATTTTCTACGACAAATACTTATTAGGTATTATCTTAAAATGATTTAAATCAAATATATGTATAGAGCGCCACCGTCAAATGTCAAATTTTTGTATTTAAGGAGTTGCATTCCAAACTCGGCTTAGCCATATTAGGTGATTTTGAGCAAAATGTCAAAAACCTTACACGTGCGTACTAACTTATATCAGGCCTACAGAATAATTTAAACGAAATAAATAAGCATAAAATTTATGTAACTTGATTAAAAAGCTTTTTAATACCTAGGTATAGCTCTAATTTGAAATAATTTAAAATTACATACGTATAAGCCAGTTCTGACATGATATAACCTATAGATAAGGCAAGTTTTGGAACGATAAAATGAATTTTAAATGGAATAAGGTGAGTTTTAGAATATTATGATCTCTTTAGGATATAGTGGGGCCCACTAAGTGGGCTATAGCCTATGTATACATGTTAAATGTACAAACACCACCAACTCATTTTTATTAAAAAGTGGATTTATAAGCCGAGTTTTGGAAAGGACCTCCTCATTTTATAAACACAGATTATAAAGGTTATAAATAGAAATGTATTCCTTGAAAATGGACATTTTTTCACAGTGAAAGTAAAGATGTTGCACTTTACAGTGGAGTCCGTGCCCGAATTTAAGTTATAGTTTACTGCCGGCAAAATTAAAAGGTCAGTACAATGTTCATATAAACTTTTCAAATATTGGCGTTGATAAACTATTTAATACTTTTATATTTTTGTATTTAGATACTTAATAAAATAATTTTCACATTTACTTTTATTTTACAAAAAAGGCACTTTATTTTAACGATGACATTTGACATCTGCCAACTAACTTCAGCCTGTGACTAAAAACGCCATAAAGCCACAACTTGTCAATGTGTATTTAAAAGGTCACTTAGTGTCATGGAAACATGTACGATAATAGGCATTTCAAAGGTGGGAGTAGAAAAAATTGTTCATTAACTATAATAATTTTTGTTAATTTTTAATATGAGGATAAAATTACGATACGCCACTGTACATACGGCAAACCGCGGTGGTTTGGTTTAAGTAGTGTCGTTAGACCCGGTCCTCTCGAAAATTTAATTAAGATTTTCTAGTGAAGAGGCATGATATTAGGTTAAGAGCTTCTTATTTTGGACACTTCTACTAACAAAGATCGGAGGCTCAACTCCTGTACCTTCTTATCAAGTAGCTCACGTAAAAATTCATTTTAAGATTGTTTCCAATAAAAATATAATTAAATATAATATATATTTTCCTTTTGTTGTAAAGGATATGGTAATTGATGTTACTAAACATTAAATTAAAAATTAGAAACTTTTGAACTTTACCTTTCTCATTAAGAAGTTTTAAAAAGTTCAAATTGAAACATAGTAGGTATCGGCATTTCTGTTAAAATTTACATTATGTGATATATATTGAGAATTTTTAAATAGTTATAAATTTGGGTTTGGGATATAAGTAAGTATACATAATTTAAAAAATATTAAATTTTAGTTAGGTAATTATAAATTTTTTGTTACTTCAATTTAACTCGTCGTGTGGCTTATAACAAAATAATTTTGAATTAAAAAAACAATTTTTATTTATTCTTCCTGATAATATTACTTACACCAAGTTTTAGTAAAATTACGTTTAAAATCAATTATGTAATTTTGTAAATTTAAATTAAATAGGGACTCTTTACAAATCCACCAATAAATCTTAGCGAGAATAGCAAATGGTGCTTTCTTTCCTCTGTATCTAAACGAAATAACAATTGTAAATGAACTAAGAAATAAAATGATAAAAATCTACCTTATTTCGAATTGCAGTTTGATAATAGTTATCTGATTCGGTTGGCAATTAGATGCAAATAGTGTATTTTGAGTGAAATATGTACAGTGTACATTATACACCAATAGTTGAAAATGCATTGAGCATACGCCGAAAAGAATCCGCATAATTTTTAGAACGGTTTTTTACCAAGAAAACAGTTATAACTTTCTTTATGAAATACCATGCAATCAATTTATCGCCCACTAAAATTACTTTAAATCGTTTATTTTTTATCAACCTCCTTATGTCTGGACCATTAAGAACTCCATGCTTTAACTTGTTAATACTAATTTCGGTGAAAATTTCGATCGAGCATATTAATACGTCCTCTCTTTTTGCTACGGCTGTAAGTAAGTTTTTCACGATTCCAAGTTTAATATGAAGAAATGTCATTAATAGGTTTCCAGGTGCTACAAGCGCTTCGCTTACATCATTACAATTTTAAATTCGCTGCCCTTACTACCATTCCAATCGTTCTTTGCGCATTGGTCACCAGTCTATCGCGTATTCCAATTACACAAGAAACATGCAGTTTGTGTAGCATGCTTGCAATCCAGTTTATCTCTGCTTGCAATCCAGTATAGCGACAACTTTTAAATCGCAACAAATTCTCCACTGATATTGCTCATACTGCCATGGACCGGTTCCAAAAAGAACTTCATTTTATCATAAGTTTCCTTTGTGTCTGTACCAGTGCAGCTGTAGGCGATTGGGATTGAAGGGTTGGCGTTCGATTTATGCAACAACAGGGCTTTAAAGTACTTTTAGAACTGTCTATAAACAGGTGCCAGTCTTCTTTTCGTAATTAGATAATAGCCTTCATTAACCTCTAAAAATGAATTATTCAAAAATGACTAGTGAAAAAGTCACTAATAACTGTAGTCCACAGCACATTTAACAGCCAATTCTCAAAATTGTCTGAATCCGAAAAGACCGTCAAATATTATGAAAGTAGAGCGGTTTTTGAGATATAGTCAATTTCATTTTAAATGGAAAATTAACCATATCTTAAAAACTGATCTACTTTTATAACTTTTCGGATCCAGCTGATAATTTTACGTAGGAATTGACTGCTAAATATTCGGGATACAAATTGCTGTTGACGAGATTTATTAGTGGCTGCTTTTTCGCTATGACAATTTTTAGAGAGTAGCTTAACGACGTCTTCTTAATACGCGAACGTTTTTTCTTCATTTAAGATGATTTATTTATTTTGGTGTCGATAAGCAGTCACTTTAGTATTGCTTGTTAGCAAATTATTTGCATTATGGAATGACGCCAACATTTACGATTTCTGTTGTGATAGCTCCAACATAGGTACAATATGATCCAATTGAGCTTGCTTAACAACAATGGGATCATTTGTAATTGAACCAGGATTATATTCAGATTCATTTTGTGCATATATAGTTGCTGCACATAAAAACATAACTGGGCTTGGAAATGTTGATGATACTGGGACAACATCGGAATGGGGCAACGGCAACTCTGCACTTCGAACAAGAACATAAACTTTATTTTTTGATTTTATTTTGTTCAATCCCATTACACTATTTACACACTCATAACAATGTTGAGAATCAAACCATAACATTGGGATACCATATGGTAGAAAATTAACTTTTCCAAGCCAAAACAACATTGTAACAGTTTCTGCACACGATTTTTGGATAGTAATTCTCATAACATATAACAAACTCGTTACTTAGGGTAATTGTTTATTTTCTTTACTCATAGGAGTGAAATGTCCACAAACATAACAAAAATTGCACGTTTCCATTTTCGCGTCTTAACAACACAATTTCAACAACGTAACAACAAACGAAAAAACGTAACAAAATAACAAAGGTAAAAACGATAGAAAAAACAGCAAACGTAAAACGTAACAACAACCTAACAACAAACGTAACAGTGTAAAATCGTAACAATAATCACAATAATAGGATCAACAATCACAGTACTAACGCTTGCATAATGGCGTTTAAATAATTGTCAACTATTTTCCATGCACACTACAATTTATAATACAAAATATTCGTTACATACGTTCTGATTTTTATGACATAATGTGTTAATAAAATTTGTTGCTGGCACTCTTGCCTAAAATTTTTCTAAAAAAAGTATGTTGCTATCTTCAATAGTTGCCGAGTTATTGTCCCAAAACTGAGCGGTCATTTCACAAATTTTCTAAAACTTCTAAGGGCCATAAAAAAATTCGAGCTAATACTGACAAACGAGCTAGGTTTTTTATCTCGTATACTTTCGAATGTGCTATGAAAAATTGCGTCCATTTTGTGTGTTGTAATTAAGATAAACAACCCTCCGTCATGACGCGTCATGACCGTGCAGTAGAAATTTAACCAATGTTTTACTCCTCCTCCTCTAACTATATGTCATTCCACCACTCGATTTTTATAAAATTCTTTTAAAATTTTATTTTGATTTTGCGTCCATTTTTTGTGTTGTAAGTATGATAAACAACCATCGTTAAACCCATTGGTTAACAAATTTGATTTCCCTCCAAGGGTCAATTGTCCGCCAATATTTTACTCCTCCTCTAACTATCTTTTATTTTGATTTTGTTATTTTATTATATTCCCACATAAACAAATAAAACGTAGCCAAATCCATTGATCTTGGTGGCCAAAGAATATTTCCATGGCCACTTATTACGCGTTCTCTAAAAGTTCTCTGGAAATGTTTCCTGACCTACAAAGTATTATTAACTCAGCTTCAAAAGACCCAGGCAGGGCATGAACTGCAAAAAGAATTTGATTTTGCAGCAGTTCAAGGTATTTTTGACCATTTAAAGTACCATCTATAAATCTATAAATGGACCGACATGGTCTCCCAGTATACCACACCACACTTTTAATTTTTGAGGTCTTTGGGTGTTGGCGGCATAAACTTTGTAAAGTAAATGACGACTTATCGGTTAAAAGGATATTCATCCCGATTCGCTATTTTCATACCATCCATGCCATGTAACAAAATTATGTACAATATTTTGAATTGTTGCTCTTGCTGGTAAGGGCCCATTAATAGGCCCCAAATTTGAAACATATTGGAAAATGATCGTCCAATAATATGCCACCTTATAAATTGAATTTAGGTGTTGACCATTTTTATTTAAGAATATTTAATATTGTAGTACAAAAACACCACCACTTTGTTTTAACACATTCCCTGATCTGAGGATAAATAAGTCCGATAGGACAAGTGGTGCCCGCGGCAGACTACCCCACAACTCCAATTACAATTATTCATATAACATGCGGCTTTTTTTACTAAACAACTTATCGGTACATTACCACCGTTGTTCAACGATTAAGAAAGTTGGCCATTTCCATGAGGACGAAATATTGCGACACTAGCGGAATGGAAATGGCCATTTCTCAAGAGTTGAACACTACATTTTCTAATTTTAGTACAATTGCCACAAACACAGAATCTGATTCTATAACAAATGTCAGTGTCAATTAATTTTTAAGTAAACAATGAACCACCGTATAATTGTCATAGTTGGTAATTAAATACAACCGTGGAGAATAGTAAAATCTCGTCTTCTCATTGGACAGTAACCAGTGAATAAAGGTCAAATGTATCCACTTTCTCAATTGAAAACGTAGAAGAAATGTCCAAATTCTTTAATATAATTAGAAAAAGTAATTTTTCTATTTGTATACCATAATAAGTAGAGTACAATACGCATTTGCGTTTTGTATTGTCTCCATGGCAACAGTACGATACGCAAATATAATTTATAATTCGAATTTTTCTTAATATTTAAATTTGGATAAATAGAAAAAATAGTATAAAGAACTCATGTCATAAAACATTAGTACATTTTGTAAATTCACCTCGTACGAAAAAATGACATCGTATTGCAATTACTTCTTTAATATACCTACTGTTTTACCTTAAGTTTTATTTAATTAGATGCTTTTTACCTTATCAATCCCAGTTTTTTTTGTCAGATCTGTCTAAAGTAAGGTTTATAATATATTATTATAATATTGATCAATAAGTCGTTTTACTTAGGTTACTTAAGAAATATTAAAATAATCGGTTTTATTTTAAATTTACTTAGTTTAGCAAAAAAAATTTTTTAAAGAGCACTTTTTAAATTACAATTAGGTATATTCGTAATCACATTTTTATGTTATACATCCCAATTAAAATAGCTTAATAAAAATTAGGATTTTGATTTATATTTTTTATCATCAACTTAGTATTTTACATAAGAATTAAATTGCCTTTTATCCCACCCTTTGTTATGATTATAAATACGCTTATCCAAAAATGTACCTATGTATAAATTTATGTGACGAAAATGTAATTAAATTTTAATATTCTTCTTTAGCATTACCGGGACCACCAATAAACGTTAAGGTATCGGAAATAGCGGCGACGTCCGTCAGACTGACTTGGTCATATAACGGGCCGGAAGATCTTACCTACTACGTCATCCAATTTAAGCCGAAGTACGCGAATCAGGCATTCAGCGAGATTAGCGGCATCATCACTATGTACTATTCGGTTCGTAATCTAAGCCCCTACACGGAATACGAGATGTACGTCATTGCCGTCAATAATATCGGGAGGGGCCCGCCTAGCGCTCCTGCTATAGTTACCACTGGAGAAACAGGTAAGATACAAGTTAAATTATATTTATTTTGACACAATTTACCTTCTTTATGGAACTTTAAAAGGAATTCTACAAGTTTACAATCATAAACATAAAAATTACAAGGTTTAATATTATTTATTTATAAATTTTAAGGAAAAAAGTCAATTGAACAATGAAAAAGTTTGTTTTAAATAGTGATTAAGTCGTTAACGGTTGTCGTGATAAAATAATGGCGATTTTAAAGCCCTAAAGTGATGGTGACTTTTAAAATTTATTTGTGCGATTTTTCACCACTTAGCGGTTATCCACTAATAAAAGACTGGGGGTTATATGGAATATTAAGGTAATATGGAATACCACGGAATCCCGGTCGTACGGTGTAGCAATCTAGCGAAAGCAGGTAAAACGTCGCCAGTGGTCATTGTTTGGGATACGAATGTTTGCGAATTAGTGGCCTTCTTCAATAACTGACTGTAATTTTGATGGTTCATTTGTATTTACACTATTTACACTTTTTAAAATTTATACACATTATGTACAGGGTGGTCCACGTAAGGTGACCCATATACTTATCTCAGAAACTACTGGAGTCACAAAAAATTTGTAAGAAACAAATGTACACGAAGTAAAAAATATTTTTAAAATATTATATTTTCATTTATACAGGGTGTTCGGTTTTCCTTGGGACGATACCAACTTTCTTATTTTCAATGGAACACCCTGTATTTTTTTGCATTTTTGGATTCTACCCACTCTTTTAGGTATACTTTGTAAATATATTAATTAAGAAAATATTAATACTTTTTGAGTAAAATTAAGATTTATTAAAATTTCTCTAAATGTAGACACTCGCTAAAAGTTAAAAATAATCAACTAAAAGTTATTATTTTTTATATTATGTAGTATCCATCTCTTTAATAATAAGTAAGCTATAAGTTAATTATTATATTTTTTGTAAAATATCATACAGGGTGTTTTCTATGTCCCGTTGAAAATAGCGATTTTAAAAGTTATAAATCTTGTTTTTTTTCAATGGAACACCCTATATATTTTTGCATAATTGGATAGAATAAGTAATTACCTTTCATTTTATATATATATGTCCTATACCTAAACCTAACAGAAAAAAAAATATTCGCATTTTTCACAATTAGTAGCTTTTTTCCAACTACCTTAGTTAAATTTTCATTATTCAAATAAATAAATTTCAATAACAACAAATAAAAATGCTTTTATATATAAATATATATTACTATAATAATTACCATACGCGCAAAGCTACTAATTTTGTAAAATGCAAATATTTTTTTTAGGTGATCCACGTAAGGTGACCCACATACTTATCTCAGAAACTACCGGAGTCACAAAAAATTTGTAAGAAACAAATATTCACGAAGTAAAAAATATTTTTAAAATATTATATTTTCATTTATACAGGGTGTTCGGTTTTCCTTGGGACGATACCAACTTTCTTATTTTCAATGGAACACCCTATATTTTTTTGCATTTTTGGATTCTACACACTTTTTTAGGTATACTTTGTAAATATATTAATTAAGAAAATGATAATACTTTTTGAGTAAAATGAGGATTTATTAAAATTTCTCTAAATGTAGACATTCGCTAAAAGTTAAAAATAACCAACTAAAAGTTATTATTTTTTATATTATGTAGCATTCATCTCTTTAATAATAAGTAAGCTATAAGTTAATTAATTTATTTTTTGGAAAATATTATGCAGGGTGTTTTCTTTGAATAATGAAAATTTAACTAAGGTAATTGGAAAAAAGCCACTAATTGTGAAAAATGCGAATATTTTTTTTTCTGTTAGGTTTAGGTATAGGACATATATATATAAAATGAAAGGTAATTACTTATTCTATCCAATTATGCAAAAATATATAGGGTGTTCCATTGAAGAAAAACAAGATTTTAAACTTTTAAAATCGCTATTTTCAACGGGACATAGAAAACACTCTGTATGATATTTTCCAAAAAATATAATAATTTACTTATAGCTTACTTATTATTAAAGAGATGGATACTACATAATATAAAAAATAATAACTTTTAGTTGGTTATTTTTAACTTTTAGCGAGTGTCTACATTTAGAGAAATTTTAATAAATCTTAATTTTACTCAAAAAGTATTAACATTTTCTTATTTAATATATTTACCAAGTATACCTAAAAGAGTGGGAAGAATCCAAAAATGCAAAAAAATACAGGGTATTCCATTGAAAATAAGAAAGTTGGTATCGTCCCAAGGAAAACCGAACACCCTGTATAAATGAAAATATAATATTTTAAAAATATTTTTTACTTCGTGAATATTTGTTCCTTACAAATTTTTTGTGACTCCAGTAGTTTCTGAGATAAGTATATGGGTCACCTTACGTGGACCACCCTGTACAAGCATTTACTGTTTTTAACTTACTAAAGTTCTAAATTATTGATGGTTGATAAAAGTAATGAAATAACAATATTTATGGAATGTCCAAAAGGCAGGGTCAATTCTTATAACTATGCCGCCAAATGACAAGTCTTCAACTCGACTAACTTAACTATTCTGCAAACAGTCACGCGCAATGCGAAAAACTACAATGCTGCCACCTGGAAGGCGCCAACAATTTTAAAACAAAAGGTTTAAATCTTTTGTTGGAGATAGATTCCAACAGTCATGATGAATGAAAATTAGTATTCTCTTTTTTCTAGAAGCTAATTTTTGTGGAAAATTCATACTGTCCAGCAGAAAAGATATGTAGAATGTTATGAAGAGATCGATCTTTTTTCTAGAAGCCTATTTTTGTGGATAAATAATTCTAAATCTAATGACAAATCCGGTGAAAACTTATTGTAACTACCTAGAGGAGTTCAGTTAGTTAATAGAGTGGTTATCAGATACTGATTTTTACCTGGTTTAGGTTTAATCATTATCCAAGATAGCAATTCGGGCAATATGGAATACCTACCAATATTCCATATTACAAAGAAACAAAAGTACTCTTTTAGTTTCACCCTTCCTTCCTAATAAGTCCCAGAAGCTAACTGAATGTCTTGTGCGGGTTAGGGGTAAGAACGGACCGCAGTCCCCTCCGAAGGACTTAAATTATGAGACAAGTACAAATAAGCAACTTACCAATATGGGATCTGAATCTACGACCTCTCGGTTTATAGTCGTCGGCATAATAAATTATTTTGTTTTTTCTTTTTTATTGGCTTTAATAATTTCGGGTCATTATTTCTTTAAAAATACTAACTACAAAAAATAGGTATTTCATATTATCCTTTATTTCATATTAACCACTTGGTCCATATTACCCTCCAGAAGCTTTTTGATTTTGGTTTAGTGATAATTTGGAATCTTAAACATTCTGTACTTGAAAGTATGCTTAAGTCAAATCTACATTAATCTAACATCTTTCTGCATCTCGTGGTAATTTTAATTAGATGGTATTTCATATTTCCCTTCACTCCTCTATATAAATAGCTTTGGTTTTTAAGTCCTTAAATGCTAGTATTTTTAAAACGAAATACCTAAAATAGGATAATAAATCTAGAAAAAGCTGTATGTTTAGCTAAAAATCTAAAGATGGAGCTTATTCTTAAAACTCGCGTTTTTTTCTATTAGCCGTTATTTGCGACATAAGGCAACTGTTGCTAACAGGAGGGCCGGCAGAAGTGCATGGTAGTATAAGTAGTACCTACACTCATTAGAAAAGTTTTGTACAATTTTTCGGAATTTTTATAAATTGCGCTTCTGCTCGACAGGCCTCATTTTTTCACTCGCAGCGCGGATTAGTATTAGGGTAAGGACGACGTCACGTCACACTCATTCATACCAACACATTGGTATCATAGTCTATGGATATATGGTCTATGGTATAGATTCTATACGTGTACGTATTAAGTACATCCAGAAACGTATGCGTTACGCCGGCTGCAGGCATCCATCGGCCTATTTTCTTTACAATGTTTTGAGATTTAAAGATTGTAATTAAATAATATACAGTGCATTGTATATTGCAAACAGCTCCCATAAGCCGACATCTTCCGAAACCGGAAAATTTTACTAGAAGCACATTTTTTCCCATTGTTTTTATTTAACTTTTTTATATGAGAACACTTCACATAATTGAACAGAAATCTTGGAACCGTGAGTGTCCGTTTATATCAGCTTTCACTGTATATTAAGTTTTTAAAGCTCGCTGCAAAATTTTCTTTTAAAATTCGCATTTTTACTATTGATTGTCTATTGTAACCTTCTCATTTTCCTAATTTTTTATTTGCTCAAAATCTAAAAGCGGCATTACACGACGCAATTCTCAGGCAATGCAAGACGCTCGCAATAAAGTTTTTAATCGTACTCATGCGTAGAGTCAATTTACTGTTTTTTGTAACATCTCAATTTTTTAAATGTACCTATAAAAAGATTTTATTATTTAAAAAAATAACTATTATAATAAGATCCCGGTGCATTCGCCATTTTTTGGTAATATGCTGCACAAATCGTGAAGCACAATATTTTTGTATAGGATTAACAATTTTTGAAATTAACAATTTTTGAAATTTTAAATGTTATCTATTTACATTTTTGTAACGTTTTTATTAAGTTCTTTATTTTTGCAATATTTACCTAAAAATATGTTTGAAACATTTTGCAGTTTTAACACTCTAAGTTATATTTTTGTGCGTTTTAGGCACCTACTGTACTTGTTAAGGTTAAGGACTTTATATGGTAAAACGCACAAAAAATTATTTTTACCTAGCATTAAGGTATTAAAACTACATTAATGATTGCACATTTATTTAATATTTTTTATTTTTGGCAATAACATGTTTATTTGTTCTTATTTTTAAATAAATTCTTGGTTTCATTCTTCATGATTTTTTGTCATTTTCATGCAAACAATTTTTTTCATATGGATTTTGTGACTATCTGACTAATGTAAGTTTTTGAATTTTTGTATACGTATTTTTCTACACGTATAGAACTAGATTTTTGCAATTGTTTGCTTATCCTAGTGTATTTTTGGTATTCAGTGACTTTATATACGAAAACATGGCTTTATTCTCTAATCCAAGTTTTTTACTTTTAGCTGAATCTTCTTTTGGAGGTGCTAGTAAGTTTAACAATATGTGTATTAGATGTAAACATTTATTTTTTATTTCTTTGTAAAATTTGTAAACTTTGAGCATTTATTTTAGTAATTTAGCTTTGAAGTTTAAACATTTGTGATTTATTTTATAGATTTACTTAGTATCATAATAAACGATTCTAGATTTATAATAAACAATGTTTTTAGAACCTGGAACCGCTCCTAGGAATGTCCAAGTAAGACCATTAAGTTCGAGTACCATGGTAATTCAATGGGACGAACCGGAAACACCAAACGGACAAGTTACGGTATGTTGGGTTGAGTCACTTCAATGTTCTCTTATTTATTCGGCAAATTTAATCAGCAAAACCGTTGTACCAATAAACTAATGGAAATTTATTTCAGGGATACAAAGTGTATTACACGACAGACTCCCAGTTGCAAATGGCACAGTGGGATTCGCAAGTAGTCGATAACAATCAATTGACAACAATCAGTGAGCTTAAGCCTCACACAATTTATACAATTAGAGTACAAGCGTTTACCTCAGTCGGTCCGGGTCCTCTTAGTCCCCCGGTCCATGTTAAAACACAACAAGGTAATGTATGATTAATTTAAAATTTTAAGTCGGTATAAAAAATATTTGTTGTTTGTTTTCAATCTTTAACATTTACTTAAAAATTACAACGTCTAAACACGAATAACAGTCAGATTGTTTAATGTTAAAAAACTCAATAGTTTAATATTATTTTAAATACTTAAGAACGCTAAAGTTATTAACAAGTTCGACTAAATCTAGATCAATGTTTCCCAAGTAAATAAATAAATAATTAAATTATAATAATAATAATAATTTAAATAATTAAAATAAAATAATAGTAATTACCAAAATTACTAAATTACTAAAATTGTATTAATACAATTTTACTTATTACCAACTAACAGGCCTGGATTTAGGGCAACCGCCCCGGGCCCCCACAATTTTGGATCCCCCAAAAATTCTACAAAATATTTACTTATATTCCAAACTCATATTCATAACTCGTAGGAAAATCGAAGGAAAATCATTTGCCTAAAATATTTTATACATCCTTCTCCGCATCTTGTGTGCATTGTCTTTCGTCCTTTGCTTCACTTTGCAGAATATAAAAATTAAAAAAATTACACAAAATTTTTCCGACAAGTTTACTTATACTTTACTACATCAAAACTCGGCAGCATTCTTTATTTTTAAAGCAGTTTTATGAAACATGCAACAAGGAACCAACTCTTACTTTTGGCAAACTGAGATAATAGCAACCAAAAATGTATGTGGTTCTTTAATTACTTTGGGTTAATTCTAAATTCAACGTTTTAATTTTATTTTTAAATCGCTCATTTCGGTTGGTTCCTTATTGACTAAATGAAACTGGTGATTATTGCCTATAGTAAGTGGAGCAAACATGCAGCTTGGAGCTTGGTTGAGATTTATAAAGTGTGTTTGCGAAGTTGTGTATTATTTTAATTATTTGAATTTATTATCTTTTTGCAGTTTTTGATGCTTAAAAAAATTAATTAATTAAAAAATTAAATTAATACATTTATTTTTCGGTGGACCTCGCTGCCCCGGTCTCCCCTATGTACTTTGCTCCACAAATCAAATTAAGGATTGATATGATTAATAAATTGTAACTGGTCAAATAGTTTTCTATAGTCTTAAAAATATCATATACCCAATATGTTTATTGATGCGTCAAGTATACTTTAAGTGCTATTAAAACATTAAAATAAAAAAAATAATTTTTAAACTTTAAAACTACTCGTTGGATAATTCTTTGTTTGACGCATCAATAATCTAAATTATTTATGAACTTATTAATAATTCTTATTAATGATCCAGAGCAAACTTCGACTACACCCAACGCCGGTGAAGGGTCCACTACTGAATTATAATTTATAAATCGTCTCTGGCGTCTCCTACTCTTAAAAATTATTCTCCCACTCTTAAAAACCGAATGAGGCCAGTCTTCAGGAAAAATGAAAATAAAAATATCTCTTATGTTGAGGAACCTTCAATAATTTGAATTTCACTCAACAGTTTATTAAATGCTCCTAAACAAAAACATATATTTGATTGAAATTTTGTTTTTTTATTAGGTACCATAGTTAGGCACTACTGGGGTGATAATATCTTTTTTTAGAGGAAAAAGAGACCTGCCAATGATCTAAAACAAATTTTTAAAATAACCAGTCGAATTACAAAAAAAGTCCTCTAGAAGTTTTTCTGTAAAATGTATCGTTTTACAGTAAAATTGCAATTCCAATTCACTAATTAAATTAGTGTAGTTTTTTTTATCGAAGTTTGTGGTAAACATTTAGAGCAACATGATTTAAATTAAAGTATTTAAATTAAAGTTTGTGTTCTAAAATAATTTTTGGTAGTTTTATTTTTAATTTATTTTTCTATTGTAAAATATTTTTAAGTGTTATTTTTAATTTAGTTTATTTTAAAATAAACATTCTTGATTTGTTGAAATAAATTACAAAGAAATAATTAATTAAGAAAAAATTTACGTTTTACATTTTCTAAAATCAAGGAGTAAGTATTTGTTTTTTTACAAAAATATATGCAACATAAACATCTGTATTTCTGTATATCTATCTATATTAGGGTGGTCCAAAAAAAAGAATATTTTTTTCTCTTGTCTCTTGTGAAAATATGTTGGTTTGTCATGTTTTAAGAGCCCTGTCAAAAGATCAGCTTCATTAAAAAAATTTTAGGGGTCGCTCAAGGTTTTTAAAAATTTCCAAAATCTTCAAAAATTGGATTTTTTTTATTTTAATTTTTTTTCTCGTTCCGACATTATTTTTTAATTTAAAAATAATAATGATTCTAAAAATTTCAAATGGATATTTTGATTTCTAAAGGTCGCTCAAGATTTTTTTAACTTTCAAAGTAAGTATTTTGAATGTTTTCGAGCGACCTCTGAATATAAATATCAACGAACTTTTAGCGACCTTTAGAAATCAAAATATTTGAAATTTACAGAATTTTTATTATTTTCAACCAAAAAAATAATATCGAGACGAGAAAAAAAATTAAAATAAAACAAAAATTCAATTTTTGACGATTTTGAAAATTTTAAAAAATCTTGAACGACCCCTTAAAGTTTTTATTAATATTAATATATATATATATTAAAGGTTCCTTTTGTATATATATATATATATATATATATATAAAAAAGGAACCTTTAATAATTATCATTATATTATAAAATTATAATTTGCGAATAAGTGGAAAAAGGCAGACAAAAAAATAAATTAAGTAATTTAAATTAGCGACATTTTCTTAGTACTATGTTCATATATATTTTTGTTTAATTAAATTATTTAATTGTGCTCTTCAAGCATTAACTTCAATTTTGGAAAAAAGTTATCGCTACGAATAAACTTGAGTTTTGTAATTTCTGAATTCTACTAGTGGAAAATATACGTGTTTTCTTGGACTGCTACTACCAAATACATTTCTAAACAAATGTAAATATAAGTCCTTTTGTAGAAAAGATTATACATTTGTTTAATTAAAAATATTAATACAAAACATATTTTAGGTGTTCCGAGTCAACCTTCTAATTTGCGCGCGTCCGATATCGGCGAAACTTCGGTAACGTTGCAGTGGAGCAAACCGACGCATTCCGGCGAGAGTATCGTGAGTTACGAACTTTACTGGAACGACACGTACGCGAAAGAAAAACACCACCGGCGCATACCGATCTCGGAGTCGTACACTCTGACCGGACTCTATCCGAACACTCTGTATTACGTGTGGTTGGCGGCCAGATCGCAAAGAGGAGAAGGCGCCACCACGCCACCGATACCAGTCAGAACAAAGCAGTATGGTAAGATTTGACGGGGTTTTCTTTTATTGACTATCCCTATTTACTAGAATATAGTATCTATAACAGCTATCGAACAATAACACATACACGTTTATTTTACTATAAGAACACAATTTATATAAATGCACCTGAATCCATTTAAAAACTTAACTAATAGAAATTTACGTTACAAGTGACAAGTACTGTAACTGTAAAATATTCTATATTTTGTAAATTGCTTGTGAGCCTGAGCCTGATTTTGTTACCTGCCACAGACAAAACTCATTACCCAGACAGTATTAATGTTTTAAACAAAGTGGCTAGAGAAACATCCATCGTGGACGAACTATAATTCACATCCATTGTTCTGATTGGTCAAATTGGTCATGTGATCTAACTGACGTGTTCAATGATATATCCACGTCCAGAAAAGTGTGCATTATTTTTATATTAAACAAAACTTATTATTAAGATTTCCTAATAATACCTTAATAATATGATTTGCTTAATTTCAACCACAACCAGTATAGTCGCTGGTTAGGATACTCGGCTCCATTATAAAAATTAAGGGGCTCTGTAAACAGGGGACAGGAGATCGTTAGGATGCTGCAATGTCACTACTTGTACCATGCAGATCTTTTGCAGGGATGTTTTAGAGGCGGGATTACATATCCACGCGCCTTTCACATCCAACCGCACCACCACATTTACCCTTTTACTTTGTCTTCTTTTTATTTTGTATATTTTATATTGAAATATATTTGATTTGATTTGGTTTGACCCGGCTCCCACTCAGCAGGCTCAGGTTCAATTGGAGAATGACTTTTTTTTTCTTCTCAAAAATTCTCAATTTTAGAAAATATGGCTTTTTTATTATAAAATTAAATTAATACAATGTGACACTAGAAATGTTCTATTATAAATACTCGTATTTTCAACAGACTATATACTTAGTTAAATATTTATATTTGTTACCTAAATATTTAACAGTGTGAATTCTTAAACACTACTTTTTTAAACGATTTCAAGCCCGAGTCTATGCTGGACGTGGATGTATTATTGGACACGTCCGTTAGATCACATGACCAATTTGGCCAATCAGAACGATGAAAGTGGATTATAGTTCATCTACGGTGGATTTTTAAAAATAATGAAAATTATATAAGGTTTTTTAATGGATTTAAGTGCAATTTACTAACAAATAATCATTATATTGAAACTATTGTTATTTAATATGTGCATTGTTTTTAAAATGCCATTTTGGAATTATAACAATAGGAGTGTGTAAGTTTTTCAAAAAATAACCCAATAATTATTAAATTAATTTAATGAATGTGTGTGAAGAGTGTGTGGTAATTTTACTTGTAATATGCATATTGCATGTCGTAATTAGTTGTCAGTGGATATTAATTTGTTATACAGCACTGCACCAAGTATTTGCCTTGACTATAATGTGCAAATATTATAATGCACCTTTTACTTGTTTTGGTTTTTTATTTTATTTTTATCAAGTACCTATTTACTAAATTGAGTACTTTTACAACAAAGATTACCTATTTAAAATTAATTTTACTTTAATTATTATCTTGTAGGGTATACAAAGTTTGTTTAATATTTTTTTCAATAAAATCATTTAAATCAAGTCATTTTAAATATAGGTAAAGATCTAAACAACCCTAAATTTTGTTATTATTTTGTATTATTGTTGCCTGATAGTAGTTTTACTTAAGCATTTAACAATAATCCGAGTATTTGTAAATGCGATGCATTGGTATACCTATATTTCCCAAGCACGGTTGAAATAGTAAGTATAACCTATATTTTTTATTGGTCTAAATATTGGGCTTTCTTTGTATACCCTGGATTTTAATTAGCAACACATTTGCAAACCGTATGGGATAAGGTAATTTATTATTTTGATACTGTATTGTAGCTACCTATAACAATAAAATATATACAAATTAATGATAAAAGTAGTGATCTGAATTGGTTTAATATCCACTCATAAGTAAGTTAGGCATATAAGCTTTGGCTTAAGTTAACCGCTAACGCCGCCGTAGTACCGGGCGCTCCGCCAAGCAACGTTGTGGGGGAGGCGGTAAGTCCGACTTCCATCAGAGTGAGCTGGGATCCCCCGCCGGCCAATCGCAGTAACGGAAACATTATTTACTACAAGCTGCAATTTGTGGAATCCGATAGATCTGACAGTGAAGCTTCGGTGATTAAATTAAATGCCACTAGCTTTGAGTTAGACGAACTCAAACGTTGGACGACATACCGTATATGGGTGCTGGCTGGTACATCCGTTGGAGATGGGCCCATTTCGTTTCCCATCACCGTTCGCACCCACGAAGATGGTACGTTCTAGTTTTTATAGCGTCTAACCTTTTCTATCATCTCGATATTCATTTCATAAAAATTATCAAGCAAAAAAGAAAAATTCTTTTTAACTTTCTAACAAAGTGTATTTATTATTGACAGATTTTCATTAAATACCCAGGAACTTTTAATCTAAGTTACTTTAATTTGTCTTCCTCTGAAATGGTATGCTCTTGTTAATTAATTATAAAACATTTATTTATTACCTACCTATTTCATAAGTGGACACTTAAATCTTAACTTTTTTATTTGTTACAATTTCATCTCATTAAACATTAACACTAATAATATTATCTTTAATTTTATATGTAGGTTGTACTAATAAATTTATAATTGCCAAAATTAACAGCGTACAAAACCAGGATAGTAAGCTCCCAAGAAAAATCTATATCCTTTCCACTATTTACTCCTTTTTATTTTTACAACTTAAAATTAATTTATTTTAATTTTTTTTTCTGCATCCATTTCAAACCTTTTTTATAATATCTTATTTGAAAACTCATTTTTTTATTCAAAGAAGATGTTATTTGGAGTGGGTGTAGTATAAAATATATTTCTTTACTTTATTTAATATTCTTTGTAGAACTAGTTTTTTGGCATATCCTTAGTGATATGTGTGACTTAACTTTTTAACCATTGCAGCCCACCCAAGGATGGATTTTTTAAAAGCTGGTTTTGTATTTTGTAATTTTTTACAGCATTTTTTATCCTCTGTATATTTTTTGTCGAGGATGTCTACAAAAACTCATATTGCGCATATTTTGATATAATGTATTTTTCTTCTGTCTACAAAAGCGTTTGCAGGAGCAGTAAAGAGGTTTTTTTTGACAGAATATTCTTATAAATGTTTTTTCGGTATATCTAAAATTAATAGTTATTGTGTATTTTTTATTTTGATTTTTCTTGTTATTGTTTAGCTACTCACGTTCACATGTAATGATTGCTTATTGATTTTTACTCGCACAGTGATGCATTGCAATGGCACATTTTTTGAGTCACAAACGGCACTTTTTTACTAAATATATTTACCTTTTATTTTAAGCACCTTTTTTATACGTATCTTAGAAAACACGTTACCTAGCATGAATACACTTACCCCATTCCAACTTAAAAAGACCAAAGTGATATAATGAAATAATACAATTTACGACATTAAAGACAATTTTTGTTTCTTAATATTTCTAAATATCTATTTTTTGCTCTGGTCTTTTAGAGTGTATCCTTTTTAAATCCTAATCCTTGCCTTCGCTAGGCACCACCTCACTCACTGTAGGTGACATGCGCACATGGCACAAATTTATCACATTCAGTGTGGAAAAGTTACACTTGCACCAAATTTTTGTGTGTGACTTGTGTGATTGGGTATAAAATAACTAATTAACTAATCAGTTTTACAAAAAATTACAACTAACACAAACGTGGTAAACTACAATATCTTATACCACAAATTTCTGTAACAGATTTTGCACCAGCATTATTAGTATTTGAAATATTTATCCACAGCTGGTATTAAATATATGCTTATGTGAACACTTTTCTTAATTGAGTTTTTAATTTTAATGTTTTAAAATTAAATTAATATAATTTAGGACAAAACTCAATGGAAAAGTGCAATTTAAATTATCTATACTAAATCATTTTAATTTGAAATATTTAGGATAGAAATTTATATTGATTAAAAAATAATTATATTAAATAAACTACAATCTTAAATTAGGTCCAAATATTTTTTATAATATCAATTTTATGCAATATTTTTGAACGTATTATTATCTAATTTCAAAAGTTTAAAGTTTGATATTTGGGTTCGAATTTTTTACTAAAATTTAAATAAGTTTTAGGCACAGCTTTAAAATGTTTGAATACCAATACGAGTTTTAGTTTTGTAGACCAACAAAAATATAGAATTTTTTGATGAGCATGTTCTTATGAACAAAATTTGACGCATTTTTGTAGTAACCACCTAAAAAGTATTTTTGACTAATATTGGCAAGTGATTTTTGTGCATGTGTTAAAGGTTGGCCTTTGGCACTACTCTACGACAACCGTTAAAGTGTGCAAGTGAACATAACTAACATGGACAACAGTTAGTCACACCTTTTTTAACACTTTTTATGGATCCATTTTCCCACATTTTTTACCCATTTTTTATTTTTGAACAACATAATTTTTTCAAAGATTTTTAAATTTTTTAATAAAAGGAATTCAACTATGTATTAAATCAATACATGTGTGTGAGTAAAACATTTTTTTTAAACCTCCAAGCATTTTTGTAGCGGAGTTTTTTGTACTAAAATATTTTTGATACATGATAGTAATGGTAACATTTTTACAATTACTATTTTTTTTTAACTTTTTGCCTAACGCGGCCCACAGTTGTCAGGAGTGAGTATTTTTTTCTCTGTTGTGTGCTAGTAGAGATTTTTGTAGTTTTTATAGGGTTTTTTGTGCTTTTTTTACTGTCAAATGAATATGTGGTGTCATTTTTTAAACTTCACAGTTTAAGCCACATGCTCATTTCTCAATGTTTTTTAAAAGGAAGCAGCAGCAATCGGATAAAATACCATTAATTTTTAAGCATAGGTATATGTGTAGTAAAAATGACTTTAGTAGGTTCTTACCCATTTATGCTGGATGAGGTAATTATTAACGATTTATCGTGTGTTGGTATTCAAATGTTTTAGGATTCCTTATGGTTTTAAAATTGAATGTGTGAACAAAATTAATTAAAAAAAACAAAACGTGTGATGTGGTTGCATGAAGAAAAAATAAAGAAAATTAGACCTTATATTCAAACGGACTAATACTTGTATATTTAATAGTGCCTGGTGATCCGCAAGATGTTAAAGTCGTACCAATCAATTCAACCACCATTAAGGTCAATTGGAAACCTCCAGGGACCAGGGATCGTAACGGCATCATTTTGGGTTTCCATGTCCATGTTCAAGAGACCAAAGAGGAGGTAAATAATTTGTTCCTCTTTAAACTTTCGCATAATTTAAGTAATCTGTTTTTTTATAGGGAAAGAACTTTTTAAACGAGCCGATGAGGTTTGACGTTTTTGGAGATGACGTTTTGGAATTAAATGTATCAGGTCTACAACCAGATACGACTTATGCCATTCAGGTGGCAGCACTAACCAGAAAAGGAGATGGAGATAGAAGCGCGCCTGTGAACATCAGAACACCTGGAGGTGTACCCAACAGGCCAGATATGACTATTAAGTAAGAATATAATAAAAGCCTTAACAACAAAGATGTATTAATTAATTTTTAGAATTATTGAAAGAGAGCCCACAGTCACAATAGAACTGGAATGGTCTCGACCTTCACAAACTTATGGAGAGTTAAAAGGCTTTCGTCTACGGTACGGTGTTAAAGATCAAGTATTAAAAGAAGTTAATTTAAAGAGTAAGTATATTTAGTAAATCCCTAAACTATTCTTTATAACTGTATATTTTTAGGTACTCATAATAATTACCGCATAAATGATTTGGAAAGAGGAGTAGAATATGAGTTTAGAGTGGCCGGACAAAATCATATTGGGGTAGGTCAGGAAAATATTAAAATGATGAATACGCCTGAGGGACCTCCCACAGGATCTCCGACGAATATAAGTTACCACTTTCAAACTCCTGACGTAGTTTGTGTGACATGGGACCCACCAATCAAAGAGCACCGAAATGGCCAGATAGTTAAATACGATATTCATTTCCATAAGAAAACCGACCATAGTAATAATATAGTTAGAAATGTTTCGCATACAAAAGCTGTATTTACAAATTTGGAAGAAAATACCGAATACGTGTTTCATATTAAAGCGTATACCAGTCAGGGAGCCGGTCCAAATAGCGAAAAGTACACGATACAAACTGATAGAGATATCGGAAGGGCTCCTATGTCTGTAAAGGCAGTGGCAACGTCCGATTCGAGTGTTGAAGTTTGGTGGGAACACGTGCCTTCCAGAGGAAAAGTGATAGGTTATCAAATATTTTACACGATGACGGCAGTCGAAGACTTAGATGAATGGCAAAAAAAGACTGTCGGTCTGACGGAATCTGCCGATTTAGTTAATTTAGAAAAATACGCTCAATATGCTGTAGCCGTTGCGACAAGGACCAAAAACGGTTTAGGTAGATTATCGGAGAAAGTAACTGTTAAAGTTAAGCCCGAGGATGTTCCTTTAAACATACGCGCCCATGAAGTCACCACTCATTCCATGACACTCTCATGGTCACCACCAATTAGATTAAATCCAATTAAATATAAAATATCGTTCGATGCCATTAAAGAATTCGTAGATTCGCAAGGTATAACCCAAACTCAAAGCATCCCCAGAGTAGAATTAATTTTAAATGATGAAGTTAAATCGCATACAATCAATGAACTATCACCTTTTACAACTTACAACGTTAATGTTAGTGCAATCCCCACCGATCACTCATACCGTCCACCGACCAAAATCACTGTGACCACCCAAATGGCGGCCCCACAGCCAATGGTTAAGCCCGATTTTTACGGAGTGGTTAACGGAGAAGAAATACATGTTATTCTACCTCAGGCCTCAGAAGAATACGGTCCAATTAGTCACTATTTCTTGGTAGTTGTTCCCGAAGAGAAGCAGACAATACAAATGAACCCTGATCAGTTTTTGACCGATAATTTAATCACCAATGTAGCGAAAATTCCCGAGGATCCCACTTTATCGTATATAGCAGCTAAATTCCCGCAAAGAAATATCCCGTATACATTTCATTTGGGAACCGGTGAAGTAAACGATGGTTTCCATAATTACAAGCTAGAGCACGGCAAACGTTATAGAATATTCGTCAGAGCAGTAGTGGACACCCCACAGAAGCATCTTTATACCAGCAGCCCCTTTTCCGAATTTCTTTCTTTGGACATGAGGGAAGTTCCTCCTGGCGACCCACCACTAAGACCGAACCCCAATGAGCCCAGCAATAATGATGTAAAGGTTAGCTCGCAAAGAAAAGAAGCCGGAGTTCTCTGGATTGTAGGGCCTATTATTGCGGCTTTATTTTTGTCTGTGATCCTAGTAGTATTGTTCATATTTAGAAAGAGAAGGCAACCCTGTAAAACCCCTGATCAAGCTGCCGTTACTAGGCCTTTAATCCCTGCGGATTTAAATAGTACCACCGCACCAAGCGATCCCGTAGAAATGAGAAGATTGAACTTTCAAACACCAGGAATGATGTCGCATCCACCGATTCCCATTTCCGAGCTGGCCAATCACATCGAACGACTGAAATCAAACGACAACATGAAATTCTCGCAGGAATACGAAAGTATTGAACCCGGTCAACAATTTACTTGGGACCATTCAAACATGGAAGTCAACAAGCCTAAGAACCGTTACGCTAACGTTATCGCCTACGATCATAGCCGAGTTATATTGCCTTCAGAAGACAACTTATTGGGAAGTGACTATATTAACGCCAATTACTGCGATGGTTACAGAAAACATAATGCTTACGTGGCGACCCAAGGACCTCTGCAAGAAACTTTCGCTGACTTTTGGAGAATGTGCTGGGAACTTAAAACCGCCACCATTGTAATGATGACGAAGCTAGAAGAACGCACCCGAATTAAATGCGATCAGTACTGGCCTACACGAGGAACCGAAACCTACGGTACCATGTCGGTATCCATCACAGATGTGCAAGAATTGGCTACGTACTGCATTAGAACCTTCCAAATTCACAAGCAGGGCTTCAGCGAAAGACGCGAAATCAAGCAGTTGCAGTTCACTGCCTGGCCCGATCACGGCGTTCCCGACCATCCAGCTCCATTCCTGCAGTTCTTGAGAAGGGTGCGCACTCTTAATCCTGCCGAGTCCGGTCCTGTTATTGTTCATTGTTCCGCCGGAGTTGGAAGAACAGGTTGTTTCATTGTTATTGACTCGATGCTCGAACGTATGCGCCACGAGAAAACGGTCGACATCTACGGCCACGTTACTTGTCTACGAGCACAAAGAAACTACATGGTACAGACTGAGGACCAGTACATTTTTATCCACGATTCTCTCGTAGAGGCAATTATCTGCGGAATGACCGAAGTACCTGCTCGCAATCTCCATTCACACATTCAGAAGTTGATGCAGTTGGAACCTGGCGAAAACATTACCGGAATGGAACATGAATTTAAGAAATTAGGTAAGATAATACTACTTTTAAATCACATTTTTATTCAATTTAACACACAAAAAATTTATATTTCTATGAACCCCTGTATAAAATATTCTTACATGCTTCTAAACCAAGTCGAGGTAATTTTTAAAATTAAAAATATACAGAATTAAGGTACTTGTACTTTGTATATTCTTAAGGCTCGTACAGACTTGGATACAATCGGTTGCAACATTGTAGGCAGACCTTATCTTTTTCGGCCGATCAATAAATACAAATGTATCTTCTCCACCTCTAAAGTTGGTATAGCTGCTGGTATTTGTGGGGCATAATTGTTAAAAATAAAAAACAAAACGATGGTGGCAAAAAGAAGTTCTACGAGGAGTAAATTATGGCAATGGCTTAATGAATGACCTAAAATTAGAAGATGGAAGTGATTTCTGTAAATCTTTTGTTAATTTGTCAAACCTCAAGTAAAATATCCCCTTTGAAAGTTAAATCGATGTTGTATTTATGTAGTTCTCTTAACTTGTACACATCGGGCTGCCAGATTTTCAAAATCAAAATGCGGGAGGTCAAAAAAATAAAATGTAATTCAGACAAAATAAGACATTTTGATCGAACATACCAACTTTAATGGTTACCGTTGAGTGAATTTATATACATAACTTTATTAGTATTTAAGGTTTGTTCCCACTATTTAAATAATATCGTTTCCATTAATGGCCAAAAATTTGGCAAATTCCTAATTCCTAAGATTCAGTAAAGTTATGTTTAATCATTAGTTCCGATTTCAGGGTTTCCAGGGAAAGTAAATTGCTCTCTTTTCTTCATGATTGCATTAAACCATTGATTGATTGATTCACTCAACGATTAAACTGAAAATTTTCTCGCTAATTATAGGACCATATTCTTTTTTTATGGAAATATTTTGTCCTTTAAAGGAGCTAATTAGCTCGAGTACCGCACCATGGCGGAAATAAGGTAAACGTAAAAACGTTTTGTACAGTACGAAATTTATAAAGTTGTCAATTGAGTGCCCTAGCATAGGTAATTATAATACAAATATATTTCAATACCTAAAATAACCCCCTCTGATGAAAACTTAAAAAAAATTGTATAAAATAAATAAGACAGTTGATGATTATAATCTATGATCTTTTCGTAATTACGCTTAAGCCAAAAAACGGGAGTTTACGGGAGGTTACCAATAAAGTCGCTTTAAGACGTCTTTTAAAAATCGGGAGGCTTGCTGTAAAACCGGGAGACTCCCGCCTAAACCGGGAGGGCTGGCAGCTCTATGTACACACCTGGCGATGTTTTCCATTTAAACCGGAAAACAAGCAACTCGGCAATTTCTTTGATAAAATGCCGTCCAAAGGTTGTTGTGTTGGCTTAAAATCGGCCAACTCGAGAGCCACAAAAAAGATACAGTCGGGCGACAATGTTTCCACCGATTGTATCCTACAGTCTTTTCACATAATAGACGGACCAAACTTAATAAAATCAAGCACTATGCTTGACTACTTTAAAAACCAGTAGGTATAGACCATAGCCGACGAAGAACGGCAGTATAGTCTGTACGAGCCTTTACCGTACGGGAATATAAATAGCACTACGGTTTTCGTATAGTTTATCTTTTACGGGAGGAAGGAAGGAAGGAAGACAATCTCTAAATCAGGCTTTACATGTTAAACCAAATATAATAAATTAACTCGGCAATACTTACAGATATTTTACATATACCATATTACTTATGGCATATTGTATATTTTGTTTTAGGTAACATAAAGACTGACTCAACGCGCTTTAACACAGCAAACATGCAGTGCAACAAGCACAAGAACCGTTTGGTACATATCTTACCATTCGAAAGCACCAGGGTGTGCTTGCAGCCAATGAGGGGCGTAGAGGGGTCCGACTATATCAATGCCAGCTTTGTTGACGGCTACCGTTACCGCAAAGCCTACATCGCTACCCAAGGTCCACTATCGGACACCACTGATGATCTTTGGAGAATGTTGTGGGAACACAACTCTACTATCATTGTTATGTTAACCAAGTTGAAGGAAATGGGAAGAGTAAGTTTGATTACTAAATTCTTTTAAAAATGTTCAATATAAAAAAATATAATAGTTGTAACAAACAAATAATCAGAAAAACATAATAAAATCAAAAGTTATATAACTAAAAATGAAAAAAATTAAAAACCTCGTAGCAAGCAAGGCTGAGGCGCGCGTTGGAGGGAGGCGAGGCCACGCCCCATATATATATATATATATATATAGATATATTCGGTTTTAGTCTGAACGAGCTGTATATATTTCATATAGTGGGTATACATACTATGTAGAATATTTGTGACCTGCAACCAAAGATAATACAGCAAGTAAAATTTCTATATATTTTAACGCTTACAACTGAAATTTATTTCATTCATTTTTAAAAACAGTTGGTCAAAAAATCTGATATTTTACAATTTCCTTTGAACAATTGTTTGTAATTTTAATTTGTTTTTACTTATTTGAAAAAACTACCTCGTTAAACTACCGATTATGATGCAATTTTTATTTTCAGGAAAAGTGTCACCAATACTGGCCCAGCGACAGATCTGTTAGATACCAATGCTTCGTGGTGGATCCTATTGCCGAATATAACATGCCGCAGTATATTCTTAGAGAGTTCAAAGTGACAGATGCTAGAGACGGTTCGTCCAGAACCGTGCGACAATTTCAGTTTACGGATTGGCCAGAACAAGGGGTTCCTAAGTCGGGTGATGGATTTATTGATTTTATTGGGCAGGTGCACAAGACGAAAGAACAGTTTGGGCAGGATGGACCTATCACGGTTCACTGCAGGTAAAGTTTTTTAGTTATTTTATTTAAATTTGCTTAACCGTGTCCAAGAATTTTTTGGATTTTTGTTATTAACCTAGGTAGCTAAACAAGTTAATATACAATTTAAGCAGTGGCGGCTCGTGACCTTAACTTTTGGATGGCGACAGCAATTGTTTTTCAATTAAAGTATCTAAAAATGACCTTGATTATGGCTTGTAGCAACCCAAAAATATTTTTTTAATTTCTCCACATTTATTAACATACCTAACCAAAATAGCATTGTGACTTTTTATATATTTTTTTATTCCGTTATGTATGGTCTCTATAAGATATCCCGAAACACAACGTTTATCTAGAAATTAAAGCAATTTGAATGGTAAAAAAATATTACCAACTTTTTTAAATGCTCATAAATGCCTGCATCCCGTTTAGTAATTAAATAACATAAATGACATCTATTAGATAACTTACATCTTTGTTACTTATAAATTTATAATGGTAAAGGCATATATAAAATTTTAATGATAAAGGGATCTTTAATAGTCAAAGTGTTAAATTGTAGAAACTTATATGTTCTTTGAATAATACCAGAAGATAAATTTTTAACGTCCGAAAAAGAGAGAAACTGCAAAAGCTCCACCTATAAAATCGCACGTGCGACCGTTCTTCGTCATCAAAGCTCGTTCGTTTTATTCCGTTTATTTTATTTTTTTCTGACGAGGCCTCCTTTCCATTGAATGGCATGGTAAACCAACACAACTGTCGATATTGGTCGATTTGATTTTAGCAAGACGGTGCACCACCACACTATGCATTGCTAGGGATTATTTAAATTAGGTCTTCCCCAATCGCTGGATAGGTCAAATCGAGTGGCCAGTGCAATCGCCCGATTTTACCCCTTTAGACTTCTTTTTATGGGGACATCTTAAAAACCGCGTGTATGTAAACAGGCCCCAGTACGACCTAAGACACTGCATTAAAGCCGAGATCTAAATGATCACTCCTGCGAGACTAGCAAACGTACAACGCTCGTTTGTGGGCTGGCTGTCCCATTGCCAAATAGTTAAAGGTGAACACAGCAACTGCTCTGACTGGCTTCCCAAAAACATTAAGCAACGCATATATTTTGTTAAAGTTTGCCAAAATACCAAACTTTCATTCGGCGACAAAAACCTGCTTTTCTCAAAAAAAATTCCATGTAACCTTCTACATGTGCATCAACGTACTCAGGACAACGGTAGCTATCCAAAAATGGAACAAAAATATAGGGTTAAAATTAAAAAAAAAACTTACTTCGATTGTGGCGCCACCAACAATTGTTTAAAGTAGACGTGCTTCAGTATTTTTTTTAAATGTATCGTTTTTTAAATAATCTCATGTTCCGGGACTTTACGAACACACTGTTTATTTAAATAAAATGATCATTATCTCGGGATAACTACTTTTGATTAACTTATAATTTTTCTTATAAATGTGGAAAGCTATAATGATGAATTGAATGATTTTAGGTTTAAAAATATTATATATATAATCCATACGGTACAAGGATGTCGGACGCCGATGTGGGCTGCTAAAGGACTGCCGCAGAAAATCCAATGGACGTCCATAAGACGTCCTAATGTCAAAGAAAAGGACCAAAATCGGACGACCAAAAGAACTCCGAATAACATCCAAATGGACATCGATATACTGCCAAATAAGGTTCAGATGTCCGATTTTGTCGCACTTTTTTGACATTTGGACGTCCTATGGACGGCAGTCGTTCGGCAGCCTATCGGCGTCCGACATCCTTGTGCTGTATGGGTTCAAAAATAGTTAACTTTTAGTAAAACCTAACAAAAACTTTTATTCACTACAGTATACAAAATCATCAGTTTTTGTCAATGCTCTTTTCTTAGCGCATTTATTCCATGTACCTACTAAGTAGTATACTATAGTATACTAAGTACTTAAGTACAATTATACAATTAAGTATAACTAGTATAACTATTATTAATTGGTTCGACCTTTACTTGATGAAACTCCATATTAACTATGTAAATATAAAAAAACTATGTTTTGAAAGTTTCACGTAATTTATTAAATGTGGACAATTGTTTCGCCACACAGTTGCTTCTTCAGAATGTATTAAAACTAATACTAGTGCAAAATTTATAATAATTTTCATGCTAAATCTACCTGTGTTACATAATATTTACATAATATTAAAAAAAGCATTCAGAAATTCCTTATGGGAAATACCTAATCTATTTATTGTTAACAATTTTATTTAGATTTAATTTTGTGCCTTTATTTTCTAAATGTTATATTTTGAAGTTGTTATTAAATGTATGGTTTTCTGTAATTAGATGTGTCGCGTAAACTGAATCAAGTTTTTGGTTCATAAATGATCTACGATGTTCTTTAATTCTGGTATTAAAATTACGGCCAGTTTGTCCTATATAAATTTTTGGACAATCCCTACAAGTTAATTGGCATACGCCTGATTTCGTATGCTTATTAGACTTAACTTTGTTTTTTTATGAAAATACTTAGATTGTAGTTAGTTTTAAAAGAGATATTGCTATTAATTTTTTTTTAAACGTGAAAACATGTCTCATATTGGAACCTAAATATGTACCTATAAGTATTGAAAATATTAATTGGATTTATAAGTGATGATTGTATGTCTTTTATTTTTCAGAATATCAGTAGTTAATTGTGCTTTATATCCATTGTTTACTGATATTTGTTTTATTATATTTAATTCATCGTTAAAATTTGTAAATTTGTAAAAGGATACTATTGGTCTAATTGGAAAATTAAAGGTAGAATCAATCATCCAGGAAAGCATATATTTTAAAAATTTCTTATATTGGTTTCGATTTGTGTATGACATTCTCACTTGCTTCACAGGTACAAATAGACAATTAATTAGTTTTCATAAGTTTATAAATAATATTCATCCTAATATAAGATTTACAATAGAATAACAAAATAAACAAATTAATTTCTTAGATCTTACTATTCATCCACAATTCATCCATGCTCAAAAAACAGCAGCCTTAAACGTACCTTTATCAGATAGAAATTTTAACGATGAATTAGATATAATAAAACAAATAGCAGTGAACAATGGATATAAAGCACAATTAATTACTGATATTCTGAAAAATAAAAGACATAAAATAGCTATTAAACAAATTTTCCCATCACTTATAAATCCAATTAATACTACAATCTAAGTATTTTCATAAAAAACAAACAAAAGATAAGTCTCATAAGCATACGAAATCAGGCGTACGCCAATTAACTTGTAGAGATTGTCCAAAAATGTATACAGGGCAAACTAGCCGTAATTTTAATACCAGAATTAAATAACATCGTAGATCATTTATGAACCAAAAACTTGATTTAGCTTACGCGACACATCTAACTACAGAAAACCATACATTTAATTACAACTTCAAAATATTACATTTAGAAAATAAAGGCACAAAATTAAATCTATTGGAGTCTTTAGAAATTAACAAACTTAAAAATACTGATAATATTCTCAATGATCAAATCGAAACAAATAATTTACCACTGTTAAACCTATTTTAATTAAGATACAACAATAGCATCATATAAAACAATCATACAATTAAAATATTGCTCCTTAAATAAAATTGTTAACAATAAATAGATTAGGTCCTATTACCTAGAAAACCAATATTTTTGTTATATAAATTTTGCACTAGTATTAGTTTTTATACATTCTGAAGAAATTACTGTGTAGCGAAACAATTGTAAACATTTAATAAATTACGTGAAACTTCCAAAACATAGTTGTTTTTATATTTACATAGTTAGTATAAATACTATGCTTTACCCTTTAGCCAACCGAGCTGGTTGGCAAAGAAAACATTCGATAATTTTGTCCGCTCTCGTTCCGCGACGAAACTTCTTTTATTATTTATGCATGGACCATGACAGTAAATTTTATAAAATGTATTAAAATACATAATAGTTTTAAAATAAATTCGAACACAACTCTTAGGATTTAAATACATAAGTTTTATAAGTTAATAAAATTGTATATTTTTTACATCTATTATTTAAATTTAAAGTTAACGAAAATAAAAAAAAATTATCAGGATAAAATAAATGGGCTTTTTAAAATAAAATGTATGGATTGATTAGGTACCTATTAATATTTTTTTGTGTTTTAGTGCGGGTGTTGGTAGAACTGGTGTGTTTATAACACTCAGCATAGTGTTGGAAAGAATGCAATATGAAGGCGTAGTTGACGTTTTTCAGACAGCTAGAATACTAAGAACGCAACGGCCTGCTATGGTTCAAACAGAGGTAAGACTTTAAAAAATGTCTTTAATTGAAATACTTTAACGTTAAACCTAGGAGATCCTAAACTTAAACTGGTTCATCCAAAATATTGTTCTGAATTAATCTAAAATCACCTTAATAAAATATTAAAATTTAAGATAAGTTAAAGAAGTTAAATGGTAAATCAATACTTTTGTTTGTTTTAGGATCAATATCAGTTCTGTTACCGTGCCGGTTTGGAGTATTTGGGTTCCTTTGATCATTACACAAACTAAGATAGGATGTAAAAAACAACGTAGATGCATGCTATTTAATGGCGAGCAGACAATAACAGCAGCTATTTTATTTGTGAGAGTCCGCATATCCAATTGTTACTGCCAAACATGGACAATTTCGAGCACGTCTTATGTTATACCTACCAATAGTAAATTCAATGAAAATAGTGTGCAAGTGTGTGTAAAACTATGTGCCTAACGTATATGTTGGAAGAAAAATATATAAATAAATCTATATAGTTTGCTCTAATGTGCACAACCATTTGTGGACTATTAAAATGACTTGGGTAGATTTTTTGTATTGTATTGTGCAATTTTAATGTGTATCATATATTATTTTTGGCAATATTCTAATGAATTCCTTTACATTTAAAATGTGGCATTATTGATTTACTGTATATTAAGAATATGAATTATTGTAAACAGTATCAACACTTTGTTTATGTCCATTTTTTATTATAAAATTTATAATACCCATCTTTTTTATCTTTTTACTAGGCAACTATTTTTTACTTTTAAAATTTTTATTTCATGACAAATGTATCTTCTTAAGATAATTTTAAAAAAGATACATTAGGCAATGTTGTCTAGCAAATTTTTTATTTCCTCATTGTGAATTTCTTAATTAATTAGTCCATGACGTTTTAATTTTTAAATAATATGATTAAGTAATACCTACATATTTTGTTAATTAACATATCTTAATTATATTGTAAAGTTAAGAAAGGTACTTAGACTGATTTACATTGTCTAGCAATCATTTTAATTTTAAATGTTAACTGTTTATATTTTGTAATACGTCACAACCGTTGTAGCACATGAATGAATGAAAATGATATTAATGAAATAAAGTTTTAGATTTTAAAACAAGTTTTAATTATAATTCTATTTATTAGATTACAAAAAAATCATGACAAAAACTGGGAGCGGGGGGTTATTTTGGATGCTGTTGTATTCATTTTTCTGTTTCTCTGGAAATCCGAGCTTCGAGAACTTATATTATAAATGATCGCAATATATTATAATAATAGTAGGTACAATCTTTCGCCACTTACCTGTGCAATGAATTTATGTACGAAGAATATAAAGTTGTTTGTCTGAAGACTGAAGTTTTTGTTACCGCCTAGGTCTATAGAGCAGCCTATATGTAGGCAACAAAAACAAAATTAAGATGCGGGTACGTGACTTAGAGCCACCCTGAATGTTATAAATATATTATATATACAAGGTGTCCCCAAAATATGTGGCCAATCTCCCGGATTCTCCCGGATTCAAATATATTTCTATAGAACACATAAAAATAACTTGACAAGTTCCTATTTATTTTTTTCCTTCGACCACCTCTACGGAGATACCGGCCTTAACGGACGCCTCTGAAAATAGTTTGTTTTTAAATAACTTTTGAAGTACTAGGTGAATTTTTTTTAATATGTTGGTTACTGCACGTTGGTACATTTGGCGTTTTCAACTTAAAAAATATATAATATTCCAAAAAAATTTTTTTAATAGTGATATTAATATAATAATAATTATTAGCTTTACTTTGCAAGAAAAATTAAAATCGCGTATGTAACCGTTGTGGAGACACACTTAAATGTATTTTTTATAAATTAATGCGCAACAGTAAGCATAATATGTGTTTGTGTGTTGTGAAAATGACCACAGCAATTCGCCATATCTATGTAAAGAAAGTACATTGTACTTCTTTTTGAATTATAATTATTAATTAAGTGTAGATTAAGAGTGCACTGTTTAAATAAAGCAGGGAAAAGGCCTAAACCAAACCAATAGATGACTATCTTAAAGAGTATATAGTTTGGAGCCATATACTTACCACGGTAAGTATATGTTTGGAGCCAAATGAAGCGCCCTCTCTGAACTTGGCTAAAAATTAAATTACGTGTTTACAGGCAACTGTTGCCAACATAGCTTTTAATTGGTGGAAAATCAACGTATTTGATTGGTTACTTCAATGGCGCTATATTTAAATATAACGTGCGCTTTTTAATGATAAATAAGAAAAAATCCTTAATTTTAACGATTTTTACTAAAAAAATCCCTTTTCCAGGGAAAATTCCCTGCAGTTGAAAACACATTTATATTTTATATTAATAAAACACTTATTCTCAAGACGTTATTTATTCCAACTACCAATACATTTTAAAGTCAACTGAAAACTGTCTACATTCACAATTCGGTTCTCTTATCTGCTAGACATAACATTTGCGGTCGCGGGGCCTTTTACATTTGGCTGTCCTGACTCCTAGACGTCCTCGTCCGCTGCCACGTGAGATAAATGGAAGGCTACCATTTGTCTAATACACACAGGGTTACAATGTTATGTAATGTAACACACGAGGTTACGACATTATTTTAGTAACTCACGGGTTTACGAAGATGTTTGGGTAACACAGGGTTACCATTATTTTCAAGTAACACACGGGGTTACAAATGTTTAAGTAACACACAGGGTTGCAATTATTTTTAAGTAACACACGGGGTTACAAATGTTTAAGTAACACACAGGGTTACAATTGTCTTAATCCATTTTGGATCTACCATTTTGAATTTTGGAATTCTGATTCCAGATTCGTTATCAGCGACCTCAAAAACCCTGTATGGTGATTTTCAATTTATTCCGTCAATTTTTTGACAAATATGTCCGCCATTTTGGATTTACCATTTTGAATTTTGGAATTCTTTTTCCAGATTCGTTATCAGCGACCCCAAAAACATCTATATACGGATTTTTAGGACAATCCGACTACTCCTTGATATTTTGCCGAAAATTTCGAGAATTGAAACAATGTGGAGCATTCAATTTCCTACCAAAATAATTTTTCAGTTCGTTTTTACAATGCTTAAATGTCAAGATACAAAAATAAGAAAAAATAAATTTTTTTTCCATCTTATTTAAATGGAAAATGGAACAGGCACCACTTAATGTTATTATAAAGATCTCAAATGTTTAGAGGCTTCTTTTTCACCTTCCCGAAAGTTTTTAGCCTGTTTTTTAGTTGAAAAAAAAGTTGCTCAAAAATGACACACACACACATACATATATATATATATACACACAGTTTCAAAAGTTATGCATCACCTGAAATCTCCCTTATTATAATAAATTTTAACAAACTACTTTTATTGATCAATTATACAATGAAAATTATTCAGTTGGCAGATAATTTTTTTATTAGAACAGATGTAGTTTTTTTTTTAATAAAAAAATTAAGAAAATGAACATTTTATTTTTAATTAAAATTAATTTGTACAGTTTTAATACAGCGTATTTCTACCATGGGCGTCAATACACGCCTGCATTCGAGCTCTGATACTGCTAACAAGGCGATCAATTGCTTCCTGTGGCAGATTCTCCCATTCTTCTCTTGCTGCAACTGCTAGTTCCTGATGGGTTCTGGGAGGATTTCTTCGAGCTTGAACAGCTCTGGAGAGCATGTCCCAGGCATGTTCAATTGGGTTCATGTCTGGCGACATCGCAGGCCACTCCAAACGACGGATTCCTTGTGTCTCAAGATAGTCATTAACTGCTTGAGTCCTATGTGGGCGGGCATTGTCATCCATAAACACAAAATTTTCACCCTCAGCTCCTCGCCATAGTCTCACATGAGGTTCTAAAACCTGGGTGATGTACCTTTGTCCTGTCATAGTCCCGTCAATGAGCACCAATTCCGTACGATCACCTGCCATAATGCCTGCCCAAAACATAGCACTGCCACCAGCGAAAGGAAGTCTGGGGCGGGCATGCGTTAATTGAGCAGCTCTTGTTGGCTCTCGCCAAACACGAATTCGTCGGCTATCACTGTTCATACAGATTCGGGTCTCATCTGAGAAAAGCACAGAATTCCAAAATTGTAGAGGGAGCTGTATGTGTTCTTGAGCCCACTGGAGGCGGTGCAAAACATGTCTATGTTGGAGCTGGGGGACTCTAATTGGACGACGACACCTCAAACCTGACTCAACAATTCGTCTTATGAATCTATTCTGTTGTTCATTGGTGACTCGTGGTCTACCAGATCGATGCCTATTTTGCACTGAATTGGTCTCCAAAAACCTATTCCATATCCGGGAAACATCACTCTGAGAAACACCCACTCTGTCCGCCACGAACCGCTGTGAGTGGCCTTCTTCAACTAAAACAATAATTCTGGCACGATCCAGCTCAGAAATTAAACGACGATTCATTATTAATCACGTTTTTTTAAATTTCAATTGGAATAAATTTTTGTGTAATTGACACCAAAGTGAAAACAACACAACTAAATGGGTATACACATTTTTTTACCACAAAAAATGTTTACTTTTACATGAAAAAGAGTTACTAAACATGTGATAAATAAACCGATTTATAAAAATGTATACAACGTGAATACGAGGGGTGATGCATAAGTTTTGAAACTATGTATATATATATATATATATATATATATATATATATATCTGCATTAGTAATAGGCGCGGGTAATGTTCTTATAAAAAATTGGTTTTATTATATTATTATTACTATTATATAATGTGTGATACTTAAACTATTTCTTTAAAATTATCTGTAGCTTTGTTATTTGAAATAAATAATTTATAAATAACAAAGTAAGAAAGATATCGAGGTAGGGAAAAAACCAGGGTCAAGAATATTATACTACTTTTAGTCGTCAAATTGACATTTGCCTCCCAAGTGCCAAGATGGCAGAAGTAAATAGAATAAGGGGGCTTGTGATACCTTGTTTGAAAGGTATTTTGATTCTCTATTCAACCTTTATTTAATTTTTACAATCCATTCAAAAATTCACAAATTTTAAAACTTGGCAATCCATGAACAAATTTTAAAAATTAAAAAAAGCGTTAAATAAAAATATCTAACTTTTCGTTGCTTGTTTGATTTTTCATGTATTTACCATTACTACTGTATTATGTTTATTAAATCTATTTGATCCCTAAGTGAATTACACAGGTCAACATTTGATATAAGAAGTATCAATAGACCTCATGCCCTACTGCAGTAGGGCACCCTGGGGTTTTTTGGGTCGCTGATTTCGTATCCGAGGTCAATTGACCTCTATCACATCAGGTTCAAGGTCAAAGTAAGAAGAATTGCTTAGAAAAAAAAATTAAGTAGGTATATTAAACTTTTCGGATCGCAGAATCCAAAACTGGCGATTGTTACCTGGCAAGGTCATCCAGAGGTTATTTCAAGGTAAAAGTGTTTAAAACTATTTGAAAACCTTCATTTAAAGGTTTTCGGGGTCGTTTAATTTGAATCTGGCATTTAATTGACCTAAACTACAAAACTCAAACTAAACCGGTCACTTAAGGTGAACTCAACGGCGAACACCGGTATAAGTAATTTACAATAAACTTGACAATATACCTGAATTTAACTAATTACTGGGCTTTGGCACTCGCATCCAGAAAGTAACTCGGAAGCGACGC